CTTTAACCTTTAAACGACTAAAGACCCCGTATGGGGTCGCACAAGTTTAGTCAGCGGTACGAATGTCCCTATATGGGGTCGCATGGTCCGCANTTGAAATAGCTCCTCAATTATCCTCACGAGGCTGAGTGGACCCCGCATCTGAAGTAATACTCATAATTAATTAATTAAATAGATAATATAAAGAATCAGATGCAGTCAACATTTTCCAACCCTTCACACTCTGTGGAACTTGCTTGCAGATAATCTCAGTTGTACACTAAGCTATGAGTAGGGCAGGTATGTAATAACTGAGTAACAAAATGTACTTGTCTATAGTATTGCAGTATGGTCCATATAAATATCTTTTACATTCTTTTACACTTGCCACTGATTTCCTATACTTCAAATGTGGTGAATGACCAAGCATTCCTGAATTCCTGATTATGTGTCAATAGACAACAGACGATAAATGAGGCAAGATAAAAAATTCAACGGTGTCAATTCTGGTGAATGATATGGCATCCCCTGCCTATACCAGTGTTTTGGAATGATCACTTATCACAGTTCCTATGACAGTTAAATATATGCTATTTAACAAAACACTGTTTCACTTCTGAGTGCTGTGATTCATACTGAATGCAACAAGGATAATTCAAGAGACATGCGTGTATGCCTGACATACAACAAGTACAAAACTGCACATCTCAAAAAAGGCAATGAGAGCATAATAACAATATCAGTTATTAGGACAGACATGCTACTTAATTAACAGGTTTATAAATAATGTAATGGTTGCCACTACTTACTTACTTACTTACTTACTTACTTACTTACTTACTCATGGAGCTGAGCCCTTCTGGAGGAGCCTCCAATTCTGCAGCTACTCAAGAATTTCCAGCATTTTATGGAACCTGAAGGTTCATCACCGTGTTCACAAGATCCCTCCACTGGTCCCTATCCTTAGCCAGATCTATCCAATCCACACCATTCCATCCTATCTCTCTAAGATCCATTCTAATATTGTCCACCCACCTACGCCTTGGTCTTCCCTATGGTCTCTTTCCATCTGGCTTTCCTACCAATATCCTATATGCATTCCTCGTCTCCCCTCATTTGTGCTACATGACCTGCCCACCTCATCCTCCTAATTATACTTGGAGAAGAGTACAAGTTATGACGCTCCTCATTATGCAGTTTTCTCCAACCTCCTGTCACTTCATCCCTCTTCGGTCCAAATATTCTCCTCAATACCCTGTTCTCAAACACCCTCAGTCTATGTTCCTCCCTTAATGTCAGAGACCAAGTTTCACACCCATACAGAACCACAGGCAAAATTATAGTTTTGTATATTCTAATTTTGCTGGTCATGGTAGCCGAGCAGTCTAAGGCATGTACTGTCTTCGCTCGCTTGGAAACCGGGATCGTGGGTTCGAATCCCACTCAGGGCATGGATGTTTAGTTTGTGTGTGCACGTTTTTCTGTGTTTGTGTATAGGTAGAGGCCTTGCGACGAGCTGATCACCCGCCCAAGGAGTCCCACCGAATGTGTAAGATCTAGAAGAACCGAAGTGAACGGAGAAGTTCATGGAGGTAGGCCTAGGCCCACTGGGGCTGTAGTGCCAAGAAAAAAAAATTCTAATTTTTATGCTTTTGGACAACTGACGAGAAGACAAAAGGTTCTGGACTGAATGGTAACAAGTATTACCCAAGTTCAGTCACCTCTAATTTCCTCCTGAATCAGGTTTCGATCTGTTATCCCTGTTCCTAAATGCGCCACATTTTCAAAACATCTGTTTCCTATCTTTATGTCATGATTTTGCCCAGCATTTTGGTGACGAGACAGTAACATATACTTAGTTTTCTCTGTGTTTACTTCTAGACCAACCTCTTTACTTGCGTCAATTAAAGTTTGTATGTTTTTCTTTATGATATCTACATTATGACCAAGTAGATTCACATCATCGGCATAGACCAACAGCTGATGTGTCCCGTTTAATTTCAGTCCCACCTGGTTTCCCTGGACCTTCCTAATTGCATA